CGCGGTTGGCCAGAGGGGGAGGCCCTCCGGGCCGATTCCTGCCTTCATTCTTCTGAGAGGGGTCCGCGTTGCGGCGGTCCTTCTCGATCTCCTCCGCCTCAGCATATCGGTGCCCCCGCTGAAGGGCCTTTGTATAATCGCGGGGGGGGATCAGTGATAAGGCTCCGGGAGAAGTTACCATTGCGGAGGACTGTGTGAAAGAGGGCCATCAGGGTCCTGTCATCGGCGCCCTCGACCTCGAGGGAGGCCTGCCTCCAGCGTTCTAGGAAACTCCGAAGGGTTTCCTCCTTCTGTTGTCTTACATTCAGAAGGTGGGAGAAGTGCTTCTTCGAGCGGTGCCTCCCGGCAAATTGCGTAAGGAAGCGGTGGGCAAGTTCTTGCCAAGAATCAATGCTGCCTTCGGGCAACCGGTTGAACCACTCATACGCGGGTCCCTCCAAGGTGGAAAGGAACCAACGGCATAAGTATTCATCCGAGGCCCCCATCATCATCATGCTATTTTGATAGCGGCTGTAGTGTTCTTGGGGGTCTGTCTCCCCCTCATACGGCTTGATAGGTTGCCCCCGGTATTTTTGGGGAATCTTGGCCGCCAGCACCCTTGGGGTGAAGGGTGTTATAGTGCGGAGTTGAATGAGGGGATCGCCTGAGCCTTCGGCGAGCTTACGTTTCATTTCTTCCACTTGTGCTCGGAGGTCAGCGTACTCCGGATCTGGTCTTGCTGTGGAAGCCGTCGGGGGTGCCTGACGATTCTCCTCAAGTTGGCGGAGGAGGGCCTCGATAATTTCGTCCTTGGGATCCTTCGGGGCAACCCCTTGGGAGTTGGCCCGGAAGGATTGAGCCTGATTGATTTGGTGCCTGGCGTCATCGGCATGGAGGAGGGCTTTGCCTTTGCTTCGGGGGGGAGGCACGCCCTCGGCACCTAAAGCGGAGGCTCCACTTTCCTGGGGCCTGCTGAGCGCCTGTTTCCCGAGGCGGTCTTGGACCCCTCGGGACCCGGGAGCTCCCCCAGTCTCTCAAGTGCAGAGGTTCGAGGTTTCTCCTTCATCATGGGGCGTTTGTCCTTGGATTGGGCCTCTTGGGAGGCGGTATCCTGTGCTATGACCCCCTCGGCGTTGCCAATCCCCGGGGTAGGATTGTTGAACAGAGGAGGGAGTGGTGGCAATTGAATGATATTTCCCCCAGCGTAGGGCTGAAGCGGCGCCTGGGAGACGAGGGCTCCGGAATTGAAGGCCATGTTTTGAACAAAGGCCGCAAAGGCAGCCTGAAGATCGATGGCCGGGGCCGGAGGGGGAACTTGGTTCTCACTCCGATCCCTCCTTCGATTATCAAGGCCAATGCGGGCATCAGGGGCGTTCTTCTGCAGCTGCTGACGGAGGTCAGCAGTAGCCTGCTCCAATTCGAGGATGATACCACCCTCGGGTACTAAGAGCCTATTGGAGGCCTCAGCCCCGTTGGTTTCGCCGGGGGCTACGTGGTTTTCCTCTAGGGTTTTGGATTGGGCACGAGTGGTTCTTCCCATCTTTGGTAAGTGTTTTATATTTGGTAGAGGGAGAGGGTTTCTTACTTGATAGTTCAGACCTCTCAACGAGAACACCAAATGATGGATAGTCTACCCGGGGGGTATCCTATCCGAGGGGTTATTGCGGGAATAAATAGAGAGAAGTCAGAGCAAAATAGGAGGAGAGAGAGTCGATTTATTAAATGAACTCAGCGTGTGGAGTTGAGATGTAGATGTCGATTACAAGGAGAAATGGGCTGCTATTTATAGCAGCAATAAATGCGATGAGAGTACACGTGTCAGTAATCTAACGGCCGAAGGGTCACATCAACCGGGTGGCACCGGCAGTGGTACGTTCACCGCATTGAATGCGGTTGGCGGATGCGACGTGGCATTAAATGCGGTGGTTGGCTGTCTCTAAAAGGAATCTTCGATGATTGAGAGTGTTTGGCCGAAGGCTCCTTGTGTGGCCGAGGGCCCCATGTAGCCAAGGACCCCTGTGTAGCCGAAGGCCCCGAGTGGCAGAGGGCTAAGTTCAGCCGAAGGCTTCCCTAATGCCGAGGGCTTGGTAATGCCGAAGGCTCATGTTTTTCGCCGTTTTCTCCCAGCAGCTTCGTATGTCAGAGAGGGCTACTTCGTGAGTTTCTGGAGCCTTCGGCCAAGGAGGCCGAAGGCACCCCAGTGTGTATTCTGGGCTTCTATGAGGCTTGGGCCGTTGTATTTGGGCCTGAGTTGTTTCCTGAGCTCAATGGACTCGTGTAGGAGAAGTAGGAGTCTATGGGCCGGGGGTTCCTGGGCCATATACTCCATCAACAATTAAAACAATAGTTTCTACCATAGCGTCCTCCGCTACCGCTGGTTCCACCAAAAGTACCCCAAGAAGAGGGGTCATACCATGTAGGGTGTCGCTGCTGAGCTGGTATGGATTGGAGGTAGCCCTGGTTAGCAAAGTATGCATGCACAGGCCCTAGTGCTCTACGTTGATGTTCTTCTAGCCTTTCAAAACACAAGCGTTGTTCCCCCCTCACTTGCCGGACTTCCTCATAAAGAGTAGTAATGCGCCCATCCATAGCCGTGTGGTCAAGGTGGATTTTGTTTATGTTGGCTAGCATTTGTTGTTCAAAGATGGTGAATTGAGGGGCTTGATGATCGAGTTGGGTTTGATCGTGTGGAGGATTCGGGATATGTGGGGGTGGTTCAAGTTGGTCTGAGATCTCTTCGGGGATGATGTAGTGGTTTGGAATTGCTTCGGGAAGACAAAAGTGTCTTCCATCCCCAGATTGGGCATCAAAGATGTTAGTAGGGAGTTCATGTTCATTGGGCAGGATAAAGAAATGATGAGGGGAAGGGTTGGTTTGCCATTTGCAAAAAAAAAAAAAAAATCCCAACTTTGTGAGAGAAGCTAAAATCATGGGCATTTAATAGGAATTGAGTGCTTACAAGACACCACTCGAATATTGTTCTTCTCTCAGTATACCCGAACTTGGAACATATATGGAGTATGATACCCCCAATAAACAAATTTCCCGTGGCTTCACAACATTCTTTTTTCAAATGTTTCCACAACAATGAGGCAACATCCAGTTTAGGAGCATCCATTAGAACAACCATAGCTAGAATGCCCAAATCAGTTTTTCTAGTCTGATGGTTATTTGGTCTACCAAAGACACAATAGCCAAACCATTTAAGAAAGATGCGAAAAACGGGGTGCTGGACATGAGTGATATACATATGAGATGTTTTACATGTTCGAGCACCTGTTATTCTTTTCCACAAATCATGTACAACTGAGCTATCAATTTTCTTTCCTCTTTCCTCCCTTCCTAGAATGGGCAGTCCAAAATATTCAGCAAACTAACGTTTCGTTAATTCTTTTTCTTCATTGATAAAACGAAACGTGAGTTTATCCTCGTACTCATCATCAACATTATCAATAAAATTAGCAGAACCCAAAAATTCATACGTAATTCTTTCATTTGGGTTATAGGCTAGCTATATTTCATCAAGGAGGTCAATCCTAGCCTATTATTGCATAGCTCAAACATCAATTCAAAGAGCAACAATTCAGTCAACGAAGCAATGCAGAGGAATCTACATGGGTATACCTGCCTTTTTGTGCACACGTGTAATTGGAATGTTTTATATAAACTACAAATAATATAATCATTCCATTTAGAGAGCACACGTGTAATTGGAATGTTTTATAATATTAGATTTCATTCCACTCTATAATGTTTTATCAAATTCGAGTATAATGATTAGTTTCCCTTATAGGATACACAATTAAAACAATAGTTTCTGTTGAAAAATATGTCATGAAAATGTCCGTGTATCGTAAACATAATACTACATTACTACGTATATAACAATGAAAAAGTAATTGATATAAATTTCTCAATTATTTTAAAATTTTATAAGTTTTATTCACTAATAAAACTACCTTAAAAATACGAATTGAGCCTTTCAAGTTAAAACATTCAAATAGTACTTGGCTTATAAAGTAGTATAATATAATACTACCTCCGCAGAAAAGGTTTGCCATATTGATTATTTTTTGTCAATTATGGCAAACTTGAAACAACGATTTTAATTATTATATTGTACGGAGTATATAATTTATAAATTTTATACTTTTATGAAAAATATTTCGAATAAAGGATATTTTGATATAATTTTCATATTCTAAATAATTTTGTATTAAAAAATATCGTGAGCCAAAGTTAATTGTTATTGACCAAGAAAAGTCAATTTGACGAATCTTTTAAGAACGGAGGGAGTAAGTAAATTTTGAGTACATACACATTATACGATTCTCCTAAATATGGTTGGATTGCCCAACCATGTCCTTCATTTGAAAATCGGAGCCCCTGATAATGTTATTGAGAAATATTAATCATGCATAAATTTTATTCAATAGAACGTAATTGGTCATAATCAAATTCAAAAAACAAGTACGACAAGTGATAATTTGAAAAGTTATGAAAGATAAAGTTTACTTAGTAAGAAATTCATTATCACCATATGACATTACTCAATTTTTGAATAAAGCATTTTTTGTGATGGTAAGCTTTGCAATGACAATCAATAAAAGTCAAGATTAATTTTTGCCAAAAAAAGGTCAAGGCTAAATGTTATCACATAAAATATGATTTATACCTTGAAAGAGAGGTTTCATTAATGACCAATTGTACATTGCAATAACAAGAGTAATGTGTAAAGATATCTTAAGATATTCATATGTTCAAAAGAAACAAATTTGTTCACCAAGACGGTGAATGTTGTTTATAAATAAGTTTCCCAATTTAAACCTAACAATGCGATGTTTGATATGTGCGGTGTTGCATTACAATGTCTTTTTTTTAATATATTCTGTTTAGTTAAATTACTATTCACAATCAACAAAAATCTATTTGAAGTAAAATGATTAATAATTATTAATATATTTTATAAAATACACTCCAGATAAATGGCCTTCTTTGATAAAACTCCAAATTTCAGGAGTCCAGATACCCCAACTTGTCATGGACAATATACTCTCGGACAATATACAACTTAATCGGCATGGGTGTAGTCATACCAAAAGTTGTATTCTTTAATACGGAGACCTTCTTTGAAGAGATCCATCACATTCAAGAGCTGCATTTACATGATGCTTCTATTCAGGTATTTCTTTCTTTTTTTTGGGTTTGCTACTTGAGTAGAAGATAAAGCTACTTAAGAACCATAATAGAAGATAAAGCTACTTGAGTTTGCTACACATTTGAGTGGGTTCTTGGGTTAATGTACTGAAATGAACTTATATGCTGAACAGTTCTATTGTCCTGATGTTTTGAATTGTTAATCTCTCCACAATCAAAATGGATTCAACACTTATATGGTGTTTTATTTCACATGAAAATAAAAATTCTTATCTGAAGCTACCAAATACTATGACCTAAAGATCAACTCACAGTTGAAGTAAAACAAAGTAAGACATAGGCAGGGGCAGAGCCAGAAAAATGAGTAAGGGGGGTCGAAATTTAATTATATACAGTATCAAAATGATGGATAGTTATTATACAATACTTGAATCAAATGTTTCGTATGTAGTTCAGATAAATGATAGTTTAATGAGCATTTTTCGGTTAATGTATTGATATATATGTAATGTATCATAATGTTTACACAACTAATGACTAAATATGGTGTTTTATTTTTAAGTTTAAGAATATAATCGATGTCATACATCAAAATTTGCTTATTTTAAGTTAAGATGGTGCTGATTTTTCCAGACGTCATAACTTTTTACTCGTAATGAGTTACGAGACCCATAATATATCAAATCGAAGGTATTTCAGAGCTCTATATTCTTGAGGGGTCGGCTGACCACCCTGACCCCCTTAGCTCCGCCCCTGGACATAGGAGTACAAGGTTATTTGCATCATAGTCACATGGTTCGCGGTACGGTTCGAAACGGGAACGAGGAACGAGAACGCGGTTTGCTAGATCTAGCGTGTTGGTTCAGACTAGGGTAAGAGATTAGTCGGTTCAGACTCTCTTTACCTCCTTGATAGAGTACACCTTTTTTTCTCTTCGCCTAGTGCACTTAGAAGTTAGACCTAATTGAGTATACACCTCTTTGTTCTTTTTGATGGAATGGGCGAACGACGGCCATAGTTGACAGGTTCTCTTCTTAGTTGAACCAGCGGCTCCACTGTTCTGTATCCAGCCGTCCTGGTAAAACTATTTTCAATGTACTCGTATTATAGTTACTTTGTTATTAAGAAGATAGTTCTTTATGTTTTTCTTTTCAAAGGTGTAGCAATTATCATTCTCTTAATCCAAGTGCTTCTGATTTTGATTTTGAATGTTTAAACGAGTCAACTAAAAAAGGAAAATCATGTTAGATTTACTTGATGCAATAGGTCAATGGCCTCAGGGCAAAAGTTTGAGCTCAATTTTGTGAAAAAGGTTGTTAAGCATATATGCCCAATGGTTTTCTGTTGACATTTCCCTTGCAGGTTATTAAAATATTTGCTGATTTTTGTTGAGATATGATACTTATTGAGATAGTTTGATAGTAACTTGGAACTCATTTATGATGTTTGATAAAATTCCTCAAAGAATTAATGCAAACTTTAACTAGTAATTTATTTCAATTACTTTGTTATTCTTTAAAAAGTTGAGAATAATTAATTTGTCTATTTCTCTATCTTCCATTGATGAAAATATGTGATGACTACCTTCTTGATTGATACTTGATAGTCATGTTGTAGTTTACTGTATGCATGACCACCTAATAATCTAATATAAATTAGACATCAAACCAACATGGTTTTTCTTTTGCAAAACAAGAATCTTTATTTGAATTTGAACTTCAGGGAAAAAGGAGTTATTAGCATTTTGAAAGTTGGATATGATATTGCTTGTAATTGATGATGTACAAAGTTTCTTCTCTGTTTGGTTAATGCTAAATGGCTAATTGTTAAGAAATTAATTGATCTGACCCTTGCTTAACTTTTCTGCTCAGACCTTTTTTTTTTTACCAAAGTGATACAAAGCATTGTTGGTTTTATCTTAATTGGAACTTTCATTGCCCTTTTCTGCTATGTAGTATAAAGAATGCAGTAGCATAGAGAATTACATCTCCATCTAAAGGATCAAAGGAACAAAGCAGTGAAGAATCTTCATAGAAACCTCTTAAATCCTAATTATTGTAAACCAAGCAGTTCTAACTTAATAACTATTATACTTTGTACTAGGTAATATGAAAAATGTTAACTTATTAACTATTATACTTCGTACTAGGTAATATGAAAAATGTTTGTTGTGCTTAAACTTTAAACTTAATTTGTTTGATGTAATATTTTTTGCCAAGAATATTTTTATTTTTTGGTATTAATGTTGAAACCGAGTTGGCCGCCTAGTCAGCGATTAATCGCCGCTTAGTCGCCCTAGGCGCTAGGCGGTGCTTCGCCGCCCGACTAGCGCCTAGCGAGTTTTAGAACATTGCTAATTAGTTGTTGTTGAAATTAGGTTGTATCAAAACTTTTGGATCACGGTTGGCAGCTTCCAACAGGGAACATTAGGTGCTTGAGAATGGATGTTGCATGGGATGCTAAACAAACCCTTGTCAGTTATCTAGATTTACCTCTGTGTACTCTAGTCATTCTAAATGCTTCTCCAACCATTGACACTGATCATAAGTTGTGATTATCCGCAAGTGGTAAGTGTGAACTAGTTAATAAATTTTGTTTGCTCCACATTATTAAGGGTTTGTTTGCAACAGCTTCTGCTTTTAAAAAAATGTTTTTTTTTAAATGAAATGGAGAGAAGTGATTAAATAAAAGTTGATGGTGTTTAAGAAAAAAGTGATTTTGAAAAGTAAAAGTTGGTAGTTTTGGTAAAATAAGTGTTTTTTGTGTAATAAAAAATGTAAAAAGCACTTTTGACACGAAAACCGAGAAAAATAAAAGTTGAAGTGTTTGGTAAAATAAGTGCTTTTTAAAGCCAGGCGAGGGTTGATCGCTCGCCTGCGCTTTGTCGCTTTTTGACGCTTTTGAACCCTTTTGACAAGTTTGCCTAATATAAATTAGACATCAAACCAACATGGTTTTTCTTTTGCAAAACAAGAATCTTCTTGATATTTTTAGTTGTGTTGTCTTAATGGCTTTATTTGAATTTGAACTTCAGGGAAAAAGGAGTTATTAGCAATTTGAAAGTTGGATATGATACTGCTTGTAATTGATGATGTACAAAGTTTCTTCTCTGTTTGGTTAATGCTAAATGGCTAATTGTTAAGAAATTAATTGATCTGACCCTTGCTTAACTTTTCTGCTCAGACCCTTTTTTTATTACCAAAGTGATACAAAGCATTGTTGGTTTTATCTTAATTGGAACTTTCATTGCCCTTTTCTGCTATGTAATATAAAGAATGCAGTAGCATAAAGAATTACATCTCCATCTAAAGGATCAAAGGAACAAAGCAGTGAAGAATCTTCATAGAAACCTCTTATAAATCCTAATTATTGTAAACCAAGCAGTCCAAACTTATTAACTACTATGTATTATACTTTGTACTAGGTAATATGAAAAATGTTAACTTATTAACTATTATACTTCGTACTAGGTAATATGAAAAATGTTTATTGTGCTTAAACTTTAAACTTATTTTGTTTGATGTAATATTTTTTGTCAAGAATATTTTTATTTTTTGGTATTAATGTTGAAACCGAGTTGGCCGCCTAGTCAGCGATTAATCGCCGCTTAGTCGCCCTAGGCGCTAAGCGGTGCTTGACCGCCGACTAGCGCCTTGCGAGTTTTAGAACATTGCTAATTACTTGTTGTTGAAATTAGGTTGTATCAAAACTTTTGGATCACGGTTGGCAGCTTCCAACAGGGAACATTAGGTGCTTGAGAATGGATGTTGCATGGGATGCTAAACAAACCCTTCACAGTTATCTAGATTTACCCCTGTGTACTCTAGTCATTCTAAATGCTTCTCCAACCATTGACACTTTGATCATAAGTTGTGATTATCCGCAAGTGGTAAGTGTGAACTAGTTAATAAATTTTGTTTGCTCCACATTATTAAGGGTCTGTTTGCAACAGCTTCTGCTTTAAAAAATGTTTTTTTAAATGAAATGGAGAGAAGTGATTAAATAAAAGTTGATAGTGTTTAAGAAAAAAGTGATTTTGAAAAGTAAAAGTTGGTAGTTTTGGTAAAATAAGTGTTTTTTGTGTAATAAAAAATGTAAAAAGCACTTTTGACACAAAAACCGAGAAAAATAAAAGGTGAAGTGTTTGGTAAAATAAGTGTTTTTTAAAGCCAAAAGTTGGGAAGTGCGTTTTTAAAAGTAGCTGCAAACCAACCCTAAATATAAGTTTGTCGTTTATTTTCATTCCAACTGGACCCAATTAGCAAAGGAGAAGTGTAATGGCGATTTCATAAATTTGAAGTTTATCAAGTTAATCAACGTGGTGGGAGATTCAAGTGGTGATCCCATCAAGTCTTTGGCCCAAATACTTTTGGAGAGAACACCAGCTCTACAAAAAATGGAAATGTGGTTCAATGTTCGAGATAGAGATGACTTCATGAAAATAAGCCAAATCGTGCATGCCTTCCCAAAGTCCTCAACAGAGGCTTTAATGTTGCTTCATTAGATTGATTACTTTTTGTGTGTGTGTGAGTGGATTACTTTTATGTTTTAATTTTCACATTTTACATGGAAATATGTTAAGACCTGAGGTTCCATCCTAAAAAGTCAACCATGTTAGAAAGAGTAGTCCATGTACTCCGTATTAATGTAGCACTTTATTTATTTAAATCTTTTCGATGTAAAACCTTATAAATCATTCCTTATGAGCATACACTTTGTTTGGATCGTGCCATCATTAATTTGTTTTTTCATCCGGCCGTAATTGTCATTTTTTGGTATTTTCTACTGTACCTTTACAATTTCTGAGGTATGGTACCCTGCTTATGTGGACAAGTAAAACATTGACATGTGAAGGACTACAGATTAGTGTTATTATGATGAGGAATTTGATTTAAGTATTTCAAATTTGCTTTTGAGTCCTTCAGAAGACGTCGAATAGACAGAGGTTTGAGTCGTTTTAACGGTGCTCTGTTTCGTTCTCTCCCTGGCGAGTGTCAACCACCGAGGACATGAGACTTGCTTTCGGTTACTTCTTTCCCTTGCGACACAGAGGACAATTGTTGGCGGCGACTCATCTCGCCCCCGTTACCACATACCTTAGTTGGAGGCATGTCTTCTCTCCCTCACGACCTCAAAGGGCAGTACTCGGTGGCTGGACTTCTCTCCAGCGACCACATAAGACACTAGACGGCGGCTATGGCTCTTCTCTCTTTTGCGACCACATGAGACGGGAGCATTAGTTGACCATGCGTGAAGACTGACATTTTCAAAGAAAGTCCAACATTGGACAAAGATTGTCCACTCTTACTTATAGTCATCTTATAAAAGGTCATTACTGGAAATTGTCTTCTATGAAACTTGAACGGGATTCTTGAATCTGTCGGAGTTAAGCTTAACCTCGGAATTACAACTTCATGCCCAAAATATTTTCCGCCCATAATTTTTGCCCCTAAAATGTGATTTCCAAGTCGTGTAACAATTAACCTTGTCCCTTTGGAAAGACCCATCGAAAATATTCCTTAAAAGCATTATCGGAGTGCCAACCTTAATTAATGTACCAATATGTAAATACGTATTTATATATAACAGTTTAATAATATTTAATAATAATGATAATAATAAATTTTATAATAATAGTAATAATAATAATAATAATAATAATAATAATAATAATAATAATAATCTTATTTGTGTCCTATTATGATACACCCAGCCCTGCAAATATGTAAAAAATAGCATTCCTATAGCCCATTAGAGAAAATGTTAGGACTTTTTCTGGTGTCCAATTCTTTTAAACGAGGTGTCCAATCCTTTTAAATATCGTTGTATTTGTGTAGCTATTTTGTCTATGTATTTCAGCTATTATTAGACTAGCTTTATTAAGAAATGTGGAAAGTGTCTATTGAGCCCAATCACTAAAAGAGCCCAATCATGATGCTTAGGTCACATCACACATTCCCTAGGCATGTAAATACTGCCTTTTAGGGAATGTGTAGAAGGGCTTTTACATAAAATTCAGAGCGCATAACATTGTAGTGAGAGAGAGAGCCGATAATTTGTTCTCGATACCCGTATTCTGTAATGCGAAATCATTATTTGGTATTGAATCAAGCTTTGTTCTTCTCTTCTCTATCATATATTGTTAGATTGATTGTTGATACAGGGACAAACAATTGGTATCAGAGCCGAGCGTGAAATCAAATGAAGATCATCTGCCGAAGAAACTGCGAAAAATGCCTTGTTTTATGTTTCTCGATGTTTTCTCATTTTTGCTCTTGTAAATCTGTTTCTTCTCTTTCAAGTGTAAAAGCTATACTGCTAGAATCGCCATCTCAAAACGATTTAGCAGATTATCTTCATTTTTCATTTGTGAAAGTTTCAGATTTTCAAGTTCTCGATAATCTTGTATCGAAAACAGGCTTCTCGAGCTCAGCAAGTTCATCACGATTCGAAAACATTACAGGATCTCGACATCAGGATTTGGACTTTTGGAATTGAGTTTCTTGACATTCGTTTCTCGATACAGGTTTTGGACACACAGAGGTTCTCGAAGAAAACATCGAAAAGAATTTTTCAAACCGCAGGTCCTCGAGGACACATCGAAAAGGTGTTCTCGAAGTTCAGGTTCAGTTTTTTGAAGTGAAGGGTTCTCGCAGGAGAATCGAAAACTGCAGGTTCTTGATAAACATGTTTTCGACAGCAACTGCAACTTGTCGATAGGTTCTAACACTTCGAAAAGAACTTCTCGAAGGCAAAGTGCGAGAACCCAAGGAGTTTTTTTTTTTTAAAAGGAAAGGAAAGAGGGGCAAAATTATCTTTTGAGACCCGCTGAATCTTACGGCTATCGTGTCCGCAGGTTGCCCGCGCAGGGGGGTGCGAATTTTCGATTTTGAACTGAAAGCCGTAATTCTTGTGTGCACGAGAGCTCCCCTCTTCTCACTCACCTTTTAATATTATGTGGGGAGTGGTTCATATATATAGGCTCCAAAGTTCTCAAGGAGTTTAGGTGTGGGAAAGTTAAAGAAGCTCACTTTCCACCTTTGTTTGAAAGTGTACACTTTTCCACCTTTCTTTTTTAAGAGCTAGTTTTGAGCCACTTCAAACTCCAAAGTCCAAAACTTCAACACCAAAGGTCAACACTTAATCAAAGCTTCCAAGAGTCAACCTTGAGATTTAAAAAAAAAATCTCAAGGTTAAGCTCATTTTTCTCAAGGACCAAGCTACATTTCAAGGTCCAAGAAATTGCAGAAACTTCAATCAACCTCACGTCTACGGCCAACATTCAACAACCAACCATGGATGCCTCTAAGCCTTCTTGCTCCTGTACTTGCAAAGTTCATTCCTCGCAAAAAAAGGATGACACAATTAAGGAGTTAAGAGACAGATTGGATCACAATTAAAAAAACCTTCTCACTAAACTTGACAGAATTACCTCCTTGAGTATACAACTAGAAAATGAAAAGGACATGCTTAAGAAGCGAAACTCTGAAGCAGAAATGCTTACACAGAAAGTCGCTGAACTCACTAGATAGTTGAGTGAATCAGAAACAGAACGAAATTGTGAGAAAGACAGAAAGGAGATGGTATTAGATAAAATCAACGTTCTTTATAAGAAAAATTAAAGAATGGGAAGATTTAATTTCCAAAAGAGGGTAGTCTGAGCAAACCATTTTTCTAAATCAGAACAAGGACACTCGTTTTTACAATCCTAGAGAAGGTCTTGGCATCTCAAACCCTCGTAATCTGAAAAAGACCAATTGCCGTCAGCTTTATGATATCAATTACATGGGTTTGGGATTGACCAAGTTGATGCTATTCGTCGGAGCAAAAGAAACCGCTGAAGAAGAAGAGACAAAGAGATCAAATTCCTCTAAAGCTGAGGTTCCTTTCAGTTATGACTCTCTAAACAAAAGCTATGAAACAGCCAAACCTATTTTTTCACACGATGAAGTTGTGTCAGATTAAGAACCCCATTTAACCTCAGATTCAGGTGAAGAAGAACCCTATATCCCTCCACTAATCAGAAAATTTGAAAACTTAGACATTTCTTTAGAAGAACAAAGAAAAAGTTTTGAAGCTGAAAGAAAGAGTTTTGAATGTGAGAGGGAGATGTTGTTTAGAGAACTGACCCTTTTAAAGAAAAGTTCCCAGTATGGCACAGCTTCCTATGAAAATCAAAGGAAAAGTTTTGAAAATGAAAAGAAAATTTTTGAATCTGAAAGGGAAAGACGTTGAGTAAAATCACCATTCTTAAAGAAAAGTCCCAGTCCAGCACAGCTTCCTCCTCATCAGACAATACTTGTTCTGAAAAGATTCCTAATAATCAAAGTCATTGTTTTGAAAAGGTGTCCGCTGACTCCAACTCTCCTTTGAAAACAGGAAATGAAGTGAGAAGGAGAGTGGAGAGGAGAAGGGAGTGGAAACTGAAGAGAGCTGAGATAGATGAAGGGAAGAAGATGATCACATTTTCTGAAAATAAAAAGTCTTGTTCTAGTGCTGCTTTTTATTCAAATAAACAAAGATCTAGCTCTGCCACACACCATTCTTCTCAATCTTTTTCTACTAACTCTGAATCTGTGTTTTCTCATTCCATTTCTGAGGTGAGAAAGCGAGAAAAACTTAAGCAAAAGGCTAAGGCTGTCAAACCTCTTTGTGATGTGAATGATGGTAAATCGAAAAAGAAGAGATTTGAAGCTTCAACCTATACTGTTTGTGATGGTGTTTGCCTAACTTATCCCCTCAAGGTTTATTCAGCCAAACACCTGAAACGGTTATCAAGGGAGAAAATCTTTACTTCCGACAAATCTGTTCCATCATTCACCTGCACTGAAAATTCTCATGTAATAACTCAAAAATGGGTTCCTAAATCAGAATCCCAGTCATGTAGCTCCATCAATGCTCTAAAAGAGACTGGTTTAGGAACTAAAATAAAACAAAATATACTTTCAAAATTTGTTTTGTGCTAAAAGGGATGGACCCACCCTGAAATGGGTACCAAAGGTTTCCTAACCTTTTGCAGGCATGTCATGTGTGGTAACTGAACAGATTACTCCACACGCATGGCGGGTATGAAGATTAGCTGTGAGCAATCAACTGGTGCACATTATTAAAGAGAGTATTGACATGTATACTCTCCACTGAGCTAAAAGACAACAAATGCACCTCAACGATCGCAAAAACATGTCAATCAACACTCTATCACGGAAGCAACCATCTGAATCGCTACCATGACCTGTCTGATGAAAACGAATTCATTGCGGATGGTTTGCAGAACTTGACAAAATCCCTATGCTACACCTATGCTCGTTGCACCCGATCAGTATGTATTCTCAAGCCAGCATATTATGCTCATCTAGCTGCATTCCGAGCTAGGTACAACACAGAGGGAGAGAACGACAGGAAGAACAACAAGTGCACATTGTGAAGGGAAGTATTGGCGTGTATACTACCCCAACGAGCTGAAAATCGATAAATGCACACCTCAACACCGACACACGCCAGGAAAAAATAACAAGTGCTTATTCTGAGGGGGAGTGTTTCTTTTTCACTCCTCCTGGTGCCTTACAACGAAGAACACACATATCAAGGGGGAGTTTTCTACTTTACTGCCTAAGTGACAAAATAACACCCTGCACATTCCAAGGGGGAGTTACATTACGTCCGCAAGTATTGCTCGATCCATGGAAATTAAGAGGCAGTTATCTCACATAAAAAAGAAGGCCAATCAAACCATGGATCA